CTATGCAAAACTATTGCTCGGCCTGCACAGTGAGAGCCCCCACCTGGTTTCTGTTCCTCCACAGGTGCACTTGGCCCAGCTGTTCAAGAAGAAAGGGTCAACTCTCAGAAAATGGGCTCCCAGCCATAGCGCAGGCTCTGAGTTGTTTCCTCCACTGCTGCTGCCTCCTGCACCCAGATCCTTCCAAAGATTCCTTTCTCCCTTAAAATACTTCTGCCTGGGGACAGTCTTTGCACAAGGATTTATAAAATGACAGTAAAAGTCAGGGGAGTGGGCACCCAAGCTTTTACATAATCATTTTATTCAACCCCACACAAGTATTCACTCATTTCTTATTTATATCCTGCTCTTTTACTCCTGACATTGTCCAAGCAAGGATTATTCGGGTGGAATCTTTCCCCAGAATTCCCCATCCGCATTTCTGACAAAGCTCGCATTTCTGGAAAATGTTGTTTTCGAACACCATCCGATGGAACGATCTGTTTTCGCCAAGGAGTCATTTTGGGGAAATGCCTGACGAATCCTACGTGATTTTTTCAGACGTCTCTTACACAACTGCGGGCGGAAAGGGTTTCAAATCACAAGATTTCGGTGGAATCCAAGCCTCGTCTGTCACAGCCCGCTTCGATCCGGGGCTTACATGCCGAACTGTTTTCCTATTTCAACAACTGAAACAACCAACAGGACAAACAAAACATGCCCTTGTGCAAAACTGGGCCTGCTTCCACCCCTTCCCGCAGCCCTTTCCCGCACCCCCATCCTCGGCTGGGCCGCTGCTCCAGCAAAGAACTCTCAACAGACATCAACTTTCCTGTTACTCGGGTCAGACCCCAGTGGTCCTGAAACGACCGTGGGGGGACTCTGACGTCTCTCTGCTCTCCTGTCAATCAGACCCGGTCCCGGGGTGGCTGCACAGACGACACACAAGATGTACAAGAGAGGAGGCACTAGATGCAAGAGAGGAGGCACTCACGGATGCTCGGCGGCCTTGGTGGCCCCTGGGTCGCTGTTTGGAATCCACCCTACCGGGACGAGCGCGAGGCCGAGCGACTCCAGGGCTTCCCGGGGTGGGGGCGCGGGCTGGGCGTGCGGGTGACAGCGACCTGCGGGTCCGGAAGCATTTCCCCCCTCCCCCCACCAGCACCCCTGGAGGGAGTGTGTATGCTCGCTGGGTCGTGGACTGCAGCGGACGCTACGGAACCCTGGGGGCACCGCGGGGCTGCGGGAAGGGGCGAGGTCAGAAGGGAACTTACCCGCGACGGCGGAGGCGGCGAGGCCGAGCAGCGGCAGCAGGAGCGCGGGCAGCGCAGCCCGGGGCATGACGGCGACGGCGGGGCAGGCGGCGCCGCTCCGCAGAGCAGAGCCAGGCCGGACCCGCCCACCGAGCTGGCCCCCTAGGGGGCGGGGAGCAGCGCTGTGAGAGGGAGGAGGGAGAGCGGAGGCCGCACCACGAGCCCACCCGGCCCAGAGCCCGCCCCGCCGGCCGGGCAGCGCTCAGTTTCTCCCACCCCCCAGCGGCTCCACGCGGATTTGGAAAACTTTTGATTCAAACTGGAGTAACTTTGGACTTGCAGATTGCAAAATCGTCCAGAGACTTTCCGGAACCTGCTCTAAATCAACTAGAACGCCGGCGAAAGCTGGAAAGTGAGCACTGGCCGGATCCAGGGAACTAACCACAGCCCTGGCCACATGGAATATATATATTACACGTGTGTGTGTGTATATATGTATATACACACACACACGTGTAATATATATATACACATGGAATATATATACAAGTGTATATAAGTATATATATACTTATACTTTATGTATATATATATATACATGCTTTTTTTAGGGAGGAAATCAGAGCTAAAATATTTATTAGTGTTTATACAAACTGCAACCACTTATTCAAAAATAGAAAAGTTTTATTCTTTAATAGGACTGTATTTGAATAAGAATTTCATACAAATAGAATATATGCCTTAACACAAGAAAGCAAGGAAGAAATATTTTATGTTACACAGAACAGGCATTCAGTTTGTTCGATCAAGGTAAGTTGCCTCCTTGCTACTTATTCTTTTATATGTATTACAAACGTGGCAGTCAGTTTGGTGGAGGCTGGCAGTCATACAGCCTGTCCATTTAGTAGTGTGAAGTACACTTGACTGTTGTTGCCACAGGGGTTGTGCTAATGCAGTCTTCATTGCAGAGACGTGATTGAATTTACTGTCTACTCTTCATTGTTTCCACTAACCATTCCATGGTCTCATTGAGACCAGTGCCTTTGGTTGCGGTTTTTAATATTTGCCATTTTCGGTCCTTCAAAGCAGGTAACCCAAGTGAATTTGCCATCTCTGAGGGAGTCATGGCCAGTTCCATGTCCTGCTTATTTGCAAACACCACTAGCTCTTAGCTCTTCCTCCTCCAACATGGCAACCAACTCTGATTTGGAAATGCAAATTCGGTCTCGGTCACAACTGTCTACTACAACACGATCATCACGATCACAACCATCCTGTTGTTCGTCGATTGCCTCAAGCAGGCCCCAGTAATGTCTCCTTCGTCCTAGCCCTGAGATTTTTTTAAAAAGTGCCATATTCAAGGCTCTTTCAGAGTTAGGAGAATGAGACCCATCATTGTTACTGGTATTTGGCATATTGGGTACGCCACGGGGAGTTTGCCAGACTCTGTCGTGTGGGCAGGTTACTTTTGGTAGCCTGCCAGTTTGTCCAAAGTAGGAATGAGATAATAAGATGTCGCGCGCTTCAGGGAGCTGGGTTTTATAGTCTCTGAGTCTTGGTCATTGATGGGATTACACGGCGCCAGGGGGCCAGTTGGTGGGTGTGACCTCCGCCTACTGGAATTTGGAGGATCTGGGTGGAGGATGCTCAGCCCCGATCCGAGTAGGCTTGGAGATCTCAGCTCGGGGATCTGCGTGCCTTTGTTCCTCTGCCGGTACCTTCATGAGTGTGGACCGTGGTCTCAGCATGGTGGTGGCTGGTTCTGGAGGTCTTTGGCTGCCGGAGCCCTGGTCGGGGCGGGGAGGGAAACTCAACCCGCTCCCCTCCAAGGGGCCCCGGCGAGGATAGCCAGGAGTGGGGGCAGGAGACTCTGCCGTCTACTACATAGATGACAGCATCTGTGTTAGAATAATCTCCAGTAAGGCCTGATACTTGTCTATCCTCCTAAATCCCATACTTGGAATTCAAGATTTTTATATGTTACCTTCTCAACATTAAATCCAATGGTCGGGGGACTGGAGCAATAGCACAGTGGGTAGGGCATTTGCCTTGCATGCAGCCGACCCAGATTTGATTCCCAGCATCCCATATGGTCCCCTGAGCACCGCCAGGGGTGATTCCTGAGTGCAGAACCAGGAGTAGTCCCTGTGCATTGCTGGGTGTGACCCAAAAAAGCAAAAATAAATAAAAAATAAATAAATAAATCCAATGGTCAGAATTATAGTAATGACTTCTCCAACCTGCAATCTGTACACAATTGTAGTTTTTCCTGCTCCGTCTAATCCCAAAGTTAAGATCCTCATTTTCCGGGTTCCAAACAGACTAGAAAAAATACTGGAGAAAAAGTCCCCCATGACGGCAGTCCCAGTGGACTGTCACCCTGGCCCCATGTGTGCACTGCCGCCTCTGCTTGCTTGCGCTTACCCAGACTGCCTGGCTGCTCCGCCAGCAATTCCACGTTGGACTCCTGGTGGGAGCAGCGGCAGGGGTGGCATGACTGCCTATATTTTAATTGAATCACCATAGGATACAATTACAAAACTTTCATGATTTTTCAGTCATACAATGTTCGAACGCCCACCCCTCCATCTGTATACATTTCCCACCACCAATGTCCCCAGTATTCCTCCTGCCACCCCCAACCAACCCACACATCCCCCTGCCTCTATACAGACAATTAACGTGGAATATTTTTGGAATAGTGCAAGTGCAATTTGTTCAGGGACATAGCTTAGTGATAGAGGGTACATCTCACATGTGCAAGGACTGGGTTTAATCCCTGGCGCTCAAAAAACAAAACAAAACAAAAATTAGGGCTGAGAATGTGGCTAGGTGATTGAGCACATGTCTTACATGTGCCCAGGGTTTGATCCCCAGTACCACACACAAAGCACTATCTGTAGCACTGTCCTCCCATTGTTCATCAATTTGCTCAAGCAGGCCCAGTAATGTTTTCATTGTGAGACTTGTTACTGTATTTGGCATATTGAATAAGTCACGGGTAGCTTGCCAGGCTTTGCCGTGCAGGCGGAATACTCTCGGTAGCTTGCCAGGCTCTCTGAGAGGGGCAGAGGAATGAAACTCCAGTTGGCTGTGTGCAAGGCAAACACCCTACTCTCTGTGCTATTGCTCCAGCCCCCCCCCAAAATAAAAATAAATTAATAAAATTAAAGGAGTCATTATGGCAAGAGGAATTGTTTTACTTCTAAAATAAGCATGCCTCCATGTTTAAGAATTTCCTGCAAATGCCACATAGTATTTTGAAACAATACTGATAACACTTACAATTGCAATTTTACTTTGACTCCATTAAAAACTTCTGACCCCAGTGTCCTTGGATTTCTGCTGGCTGATGTTTCCCCCAGAAGGCCATTGGAAGAACGGGATCTGGGTTTTGGGGTGTTTTTTTGTGTGGTGGCAGATACTGCAGAAGTAGTGTGTACTTATGGTCCCAGAGAGTCCTCAGGTCAGAATGTCACTGTTGGTGTTCATGTCACTTACGGTCACATCGACCAGAGACCTTGGCAAAGGCTCCTCCCACTGGACTGTGTACTTCGGAAAACAACTTTTCTTTGTCTGCCACTGGCTTGTCCTGTCACCAGTTTCTAGAAACGAAACTAGCTCAGCTCTTGACACCACCTCAGTCCTGGGTATGTGGATTAGTCTGAGAACACTTGCCTTGAATATGGTAAGCCAGGGTTGGATCAAAAAGAGTTGTTTTTTTTTCCAACATGACTTTTCAAATTATTAGAACAAACTTTTTTTTTAATTTTTAGCTTTACTTATTGTCCAATAGAAAGTACTCCATCTGTTGAACAGTATGCTGACCGCACAGTTTCTCTTACTGTTACTGATAGATAATGACACTACGATACACTGCCCAGTCATGCCACCAATGTCCAAGAGCAGTGGGTGGAAAATTTCACAGGTATTGTTGGGATTCGGTCAGTTGTGCCTGTTTCCTCAGGAAGATGCTCTTTCTGCAAGTATGGTGTGCTCCACCAACGCCATACAGCTCCCAGACTGAGGAAAAACATCCATTTTTACAAAAAGATTAAAAATTTGAGTGAAACAGTTCATATATTTTCTTATAAGTTTTGAAATCATAGTTTAGGCAACATGGTTATCATCGTTTTAATATTTATGGGTGTCATGGGCTGGAGCGATAGCACAGCGGGTAGGGCGTCTGCCTTGCACGCAGCCAACATGGCCGACCCGAGTTCGATTCCTCCGCCCCTCTCGGAGATCCCGGCAAGCTACCGAGAGTAGTCGATATGCCAGACACAGTAACAACAAAGTCTCCAATGGAGACGTTACTGGGCCCGCTCGAGCAAATCGATGATCAACGGGAGGGCCTTTATGTTTAGGAGAAATTGGGGTCACACCCTGAGGTGTTCAGGACTTATTCCTGGCTCTGTACTTAAGGATCTGATGGGCAGTATTCAGGGGAATGTATGTGGTGCCATCAAACTGTTCAAACCCTAGACAGTTTGAAACCTTGGAAAAAGGTAGCTCAAAGATATTGACTAGGTCAATAGCATATGAAGTAATACTTGCTGTCCCTCCCCAGGCCCACTCACATAGTTTGGATACAGTGCATCTTTGTGACCAAAGTGTTCAAGTCCCTCCACCACCCTCCTTACCTTTTTGTCACTTCTGATCAACCCTCTCTCTCTTCCCAACCCATAACCCATACAGTGAAAGATTCTTTAGCATTAAGAAGAAAATGAATGAGATGTTGCTAAATGGGACTGTGTATGCCATGCACATGTATATTTGAAGCCCTGGATTCAAGCACAATGCCAAAACAAAAATAAAAGAAGAAGAAGAGGGGAGGAAAAGAAGAAGGAGCAGGAGAAGAAGAAGAGTGAAGAAAGGAGAGAAATGAGATCTCAAGTTCTGAAAGGCATGGAGGAACCTTATAAATGTACTGCTAAGTGAAAGAAGTCAAACTGAAAAGGCAACATAATGGATAGCAAAATGTGATATTTTGGTAAAAACCCAAATAATGGCGACTATAAAAAATTCAGAGGTTGTCAGGGCTGGGAGTGGGTGATGAATAAGGAAAAGTACAGAGACAAGGGTAAGCAGAGTCTGGAGGATTGGTAGAGCAGTAGTGGTGCACTGGCCAGCATGCTCCCAGTACCTGACCCCTGTCTACCACAAGGTATAGCCCTGGGGCATCTGCAGCACCAACTGCCAGAGCACTTACTGGTCAGACCTAAGTGGCACCCAGAGCCTCTCTATAACCCCACCACTGCCGGGAGCTGCTCCTAAAAACTTCTTACCCTTTTCACTCTTTACTTGCCTCTGATAGAACAGTCTGAAATGGAATGAGTGATTGCTCCCAAACTCTGATCAAAGAAATACCATAAGGAGAGTTGTAGGGTGTCAGAGGTGGTAAGAGGTCATATTCATTTTCATTTACTGATAAGGAAGTTGATCCCAGCTGATCCTGGAATGGGATGGAGAGTCAGAAACACATGAGATCTGGTTCATTTTTCAGCATCTGCTGTCTAAGACCTTTTTGCATCTCACACTGGTTGCTTTTCTTTTTTTTATGTAAAATAAGTATTTATATCTCCATCATTCTTTTTTAAAAATTGTTATTAGTGAGACATCATGAGGTACAGTTGTAGACTTACAAATTTTTGTGCTTGGGTTTCAATTATACAATAATCAAATACCCATCCCTCCACCAGTGCCCATTTCCCACCACCACGGATCCCAGTATCCCTCCCACTCCCCATCCCCCTCATCCCACCCTGCCTCTGTGGCAGTGCATTCCCTTTTGTTCTCTCTCTCTTATTGGGTGTTGTCACACTGTTTGCTTTTCAGTCTCACAATTGTTTGCCTACATTTTGGCCTCATTCCAGATTCCAGTCCCTAGATTTCATTTCCCCAGTCCCTTGCTTCTCCCTTCTCCATCAGGCCTATATACATATATCTCCTTTTTGTTTTTCTAAGGAGCGATAGCACAGTGGTAGGGCATTTGCCTTGTGCGCAGCCGGCTTGGCCGGGCCAGGTTCGATTCCTCCGCCCCTCTCAGAGAGCCCGGCAAGCTACTGAGAGTATCTCTCCCACACGGCAAAGCCTGGCAAGCTACCCGTGACGTATTCAATATGCCAAACACAGTAACAACAAGTCTCATGATGGAGATGTTACTGGGCCCGCTCGAGCAAATCGATGAATTAACATGAGGACTGTGACCGTGACCGTTTTTCTATGGTATTACCTGACCAAATTTGAATCTGAAGTGTCTTTTAAAATATATTTTTTCCATCTTGAAAAATATTGGCATATTTTAATATAACTATAACTATAGTTATAACTATATAACTATATATATCTATGTGTAGATATATATAGACTATAACACCAAGCTCCAGGAAGAGAACAAAGCAGAGTCCTACCCTCGTGCCTAACTGTCCTCACCAGGGCCCGACAGCTGAAGACCTCCAGGACCCAGCCAAAGCCATGCTGAGACCACTCTCCACATGCTTGGATGAGCCTCACACATGAAGGAACCGGCAGAGGAACCCAGGTGTGTGAGGCCCGGGGCTGAGATCTCCAAGCCTGCTAGGTTCAGGACTGGGCCTTCCAGTAGTTAGACAGTTACACCCACCAACTGCCATGTAACCCCATCAATGGTCAGGATCCAGAGACTATAACACCAAGCTCCCAGAAGTGTTTACGGCCACGCGGCTTCTTATTCTCTAATTCTCGCTTGCAGAGAACCCGGCAGGCTACTGAGATTATCATACCAGCACATATGCCTGAATAGGAACACATATAATGTTTATGTTTTCAGGCTACTGAGAATATCCCACCCACATGGCAGAGCCTGGCAAGTTATCCGTGGTGTATTCAATATGCCAAATCCAGTAAATACAATGGGTCTCATTCCCCTGACCCTGAATATGGCAGCGATGAGAAGGATGTGGAAGGAGAGGCTGATAAAATCTCAAGGCCGAACTAGGCTGCCAAAACGAAGAAAGACATAAATGACTATTTGTACTTTCAATGCACGTACGCTGGCATCTGATGCATCCATTGAGGACCTCATGGTACAAGCGCGAAAGATCAAATACGACATCATTGGTCTGACTGAAACGAGAAGGCATCAATCACATCACACCGTTTTCGACACTAGAGAAGAATTGTTCCTTGGAACATGTGACAAAAGAGGCATCGGTGGTGTCGGTGTCAACATAAACTTAGCCATGAGCATTGATTCATTCGAATGCCTAACAACCCGAATTGGATGATTAGATTACACTTGAATAGATGTGGCTCACTGCCGGCAGTTTCTATATTCGTTGTTTACGCACTAACATCACTAATTATGGTGAAGGAGAAATTGAGAAGTTCTACATGGAGCTGGAGAAGTTCTATAGAGAAGACCATACCTTCTACAAGATCATTGTCGGTGATTTTAATGCCAAGATAGGACTGAGAAGATTAGCCGAAGAACTCCACATCGGGACCCATGGCCTAGAATGGAACGAACAGGGTGACAGACTGTCTGAGTTTATCATGTCGACCAAGACCATCCATGGTAACTCACAGTTCCAGAAGGCCAAATCTAAACGTAGGACATGGGAATCTCCCGGTGGACGGTTCCACAACAAAATTGACCACATCATATTCAATCGCCAGTTTTGCCTGACTGATGTTGCTGTTATCCCAAAGTTCCAAACGAGATTGAACCACCGTCTCCTTCATGCAAAATTCTACTTCACAGAGGAAGGAGAAAGGAATGCAAAGTTTAAGAAGGGAACTCCCAGAACGACCACCAACTGTGAGCTCTTTGGCTCTGTTGCGGCAACATGGGAAGATGCCGTCATTGACAACATTGACGAGGAATACGATCGACTGGTTCAGCGCCTCCATGATTGTGCGAGGAATGCCAAGAGAGAGATAACCACAAAAAAAAACGCCTGTCTTCGAAAACTCTTGAACTTATTTGCCAACGTGGCTTGGTGCATGCCTCAGGCAACCGCAAGCGAATGTCCGAGCTCACAAAGCAGTGCAGAGAAGTGATCAAGGAAGACCTCAAAGAGAGAAGAGCAGCAGTGCTGGTAGATGTGGCAGAAGCTGGAAAAAGCATTCATAACACCTGTCCTTCACCAACTACAAGACCAAGATGACTGCCCTCCGATGTCCTGATGGATCTATCACATCTTCCAAAAGGGCAATGGAGAAGATTATTTATGACTTCTACTCAGATCTCTTTAATAGCCACGTACACTTGCCCACATACCAAATTCTGCAGGATGGATATGTCGTTGTTCTCCCTTCCAAAATCCGAGCACAAAAATTTGTAAGTCTAAAACTGTACTTCATGGCGTCTCGCTAATGAAAATTAAAAAAAAAAAAGAAAGAAACAAAGAGCACCTGGTTCAGACAAGGTCAGACCTGAACACCTGAAGAACCTGCCGTCAGTACTCATCAATTCACTGGCTTGGCTCTTCACACGCTACCTGTCTGACTGCAAGTTTCCATCCCAATGGAAAACCAGCAGGACTGTACTACTGTACAAGAAGGGAGACATCCACAACATTGGCAACTATTGCCCGATCTGCCTATTGTCTGTCATCTACAAGCTGTTCACTCGAGTCATCCTTAATAGGAATGGCAGAACCAGATGAAGGACAACCATATGAGCAAGCCAGGTTCCGAAAAGGATTCAGCATGATCGACCATATCCACATGATAAACAAGCTCACTGAGGTTTCTCGGGAGTTCAAGATGACGCTCTGCCTAACATACAGTGATTTAAAGAAGGCCTTTGATTCTGAAGCGGTCATCGAAGCCCTAGGCAATCAGGGCATTCAAACTCAATACATCAGGATCCTCCGTGAGCTGTATTACAGATTCACTACCAGGATCTCACCATTCTACAAAGAAGTGATCATCAATGTCAAGAGAGGGATTCGGCAGGGTGATACTATTTCACCGAAACTCTTCAGTGCCACCCTTGAGAACATCATGCAATGACTGGAATGGGAAGGAATGGGAGTGAAGATAGA